TAGACTTTTGAAAAGTGACATAAAATCAAAGAAAATCAAAGCTTCTTCCGAGCATTAATTGAATATAAGCTCTGGAAAGACCATCAGCTGTCAATACTTAGCTATCGTATCGCAGAATCTCATTATTTCACTGAACACTATTTTGCGCATTCATCGCGGGGTATGAAAGGGTGGTTGCGGTATTTATTGGCTCATAACAAAATGCTTATTTTTACATATTGGCTCATCATGAGCAGTTTGAATGAAAACGGCATTTGTCAAAAATTGCGAAGCACCCGTCATCATGGCTACGGCTATCATCATCCGTCTGGTAAGAGAATTTTGTAGTTTTTATGAATATGTCTGCGTCCAATTTTCAAATCAAGGTACTGATCATCCTTATCGAGAATGCTCGTGCACAGACGGAATCATCGAGTTCCAGCACATCAACGAGTACAGTTACTTCAACTAGTGCTACTGTTACCTCACCCTCTACTGTAACTTCCACCAGTACTACGGTTACCACACCTAGTACAATTTCTTCAACTAGTAGCACGGTTACTACACCCTCTACAGTTACTTCAGCTAGCACTACGGTTACTTCACCATCTACAGCCTCTTCAATCAGTACCACAGCTATCACACCATCAACCGCTTCTTCCACTTCTTTGAGCACTTTGTCCAGCTCTCTGTCTCCAACGATATCTACCGCAGCTAATTTTACATCCACTGCTAGAGCGCCTACGACAACTAAAGCATGGCCCAGTAGGTTGCTTATTTCTCAGTCTACCTGAAGGTATGAAGAGGAACAGGTTTGAGGGCCGAACTGCGGAAATCCGAGGCTTACCAACGTGCAGAGGGGTATATTCTTGGACATGCACAATAATTTCAGGTAAGTACATCCATAGCTTTTATAGAGTCCGTTGTTTGTCTGTACCTTTAGTGACAAAGCGGGTAAATCAGGATAAATTGTCAGCAACGTCTTTACCTTTGATTCCAGATCGAGCCTAGCCAAAGGAGTCAAAGAAGCTAGCGCTGGTTG